ATATATAAATACTTCGGATTTACATTCAATTTGATGTGATTTGTTAATAAGTTAATTGTTGACACTTAAATCAAAAAGTTGAAGATACAAAAATTTTTTTGCAATATTTATGCATTATAAAATAAAATAGCTACGATGTAAATATATAAATACAATAATATTTAGAATGATTTTATGATATTAAAATATTGTCTCATAATATTAAATTTAAAATAGAATAGTTTTTTAAAATAAAAAAAAATTTGAACCTCATTGTAAAGTTGATATTATATAGTTTCCATGATATGGTAAGAATATAAAATACAACATTATTACTACTATTTACTATTTATTACATCGTTACGAATAATATGATACATACTCAAGATTTACCATCACAAAATCAATTAAACACAATGTGTTTTTATCAACATTATGTAATTTCAAATGGTTTATTTTATCTAGTAGGTAATTTAATATGGTATATTGGTACAGTAAGTAAAGTAACGGATAATATTTAAAACATTATATATATATATATTATATTTTTAAAAAAAACTGTCATTGGAATTTATTTCCGTAATAAAGAAATATTATTATTATTATGATATATATCTTCTACCAACACACTTAAAAAAAACTGTTATTAGTTTGTTTAAATATTTGAAATCAAAATTACCAATTCATAATAATATCGGGGCGAAAATTATAACTGCTATGGGGAATAACTAAATATAACGTACTTATAGGTATATTATTACGTTTATATAATGGCGTTAAAACACTCGCACAATGTAGGTTAAAAATTTAAAACCGGTTTAACTTCAAACCGTTTTAACACCATCGTATAAACGTAGTATATAATAAAGATGTTTATAACAAAAATTATTGAAAAATAAAAATAATAGAATTCCAATTATTTTTTATACGCATTTTAACATTGGTCATCTTCTTATATCGTGTGTTCGCCAATTTAGGGAACACTGGGTTTCGCAGGTGGATTATGTTGGACTAAATTGAATTTTTTTCCGGCGACCGGTATTTTTGATACCAAATTCGGATAGACTGAATTTTTTCAAGTCATTTTGACCAATTAACCCTGCCTCTAAAACCAAAATTGACTGAWTGAGAGCCATTCAAATTTTAATAAATAATACATTTTTACAATTCATTATAAAATGCATAATACCATGTATAATTATTTATTGGGGGTAGAGTGGCCGAGCGGACTTAGGCGTCTGTTGCAACGCATGCAGTTGCCGGTTCGAATCTCGGTCACGGGCAGCATCGCTCTTGGGCATTTCGCGATGTCTGGAGAGAGAGGCCGCCGCCCCCAAACCGGGCATGGCAGAAACCTACGGGTGCCCATTCAAAATTCTGCCAAAAAAAAACCCACATGTTAAAAACCTACAGTACCTTCCCTTACAGTTCCCCAGGCTTATGACCTCAGTTGTCGAAGCCTTAACCCTAATAAAAAAAAAAAAAAAATATTTATTATTGGTTACTTTTTGAATATTTTTACGTATATAATTGTAATCAATTTTAATTAAATAATTTTATATCCATGGGTTAAAAATTTGAAATTTATCTGAAAATGTGTATCTATGCATCATTAGCTTGTAAAAAAAAATTCGATATGTACCAACATAATGTTAACCGGCTAAAAAATTCAGTGTTCCCTAAATTGATGAACACACGATATATGTGATGGGGAGTAAAATAATTTTATGCCCATGACTAAAATTTCATTGCAGCGATTCTCGGGTGTTCAGAAAAAATGTTTCTGTTTGCATTACTTGTATGTTCACAATTTGATGGAACATCACTACTTAGGACTGCAGCAAACAGTTTTTTTCCAACTTACACTAAAAGTTCTTAAATATGCAGYGAATACGATGGTTTGAATATTATAATATCTAGTTTATACTTTATTATTGAAAAGTAGTAAACGTACATAGGCGATAATTATGATTTTCCGAAATTGGAATAACGAAATATGTAATTTGAGTGATGTATACAGACATACAGTGAATTTGTTTAGTTTAATTTTAGCATCTCCAACCAGCTAGTTACAATATTTTAAACATGTGTTTTTTATACATTAATAGCTAGTTTATCAATTATTATTAAAGTATAGCTAATATCATAGAAATGTACCTKCAGATTTATCTTACGTCACTGTAGAATAAGTTTTTTTTAAGGATTATGGATCGATGATATGGAATTTTAAAATAACGAAAAATATTTTTATTATTTTTTTATCTTTAATTGGACATTATTATTACAACAACTTTAAAAAATTTTATCAAGCGTTTGTACCAATAGTGATTTTATTTCTCTAAATGGTAAACACTATATTTTGCACCATAATTTATGTTTGACTATCGATATTTTCAGAAAGAAAGAATTCATTAAAAATGATTTGTTACTATTTGAAAAAATAGAGTTGACTTTACTATTGGTACATTTAAGTGCTTAACAATTTTTAAATTGATATAAAAAAAATCCTGTTAAAAATAAAGAACATGTCTCATTCCACTTATTCTTTTTAATTTCATATCATTGATCTACATATTTTTTAAACCTACGTAAAAATACATAATCCAGTATAATACTAATCACTAATAATTACGCTGAGGGTTTATATAATCATATATTATCATAATAAATATATCATATAAACAGGAAACAATGCTTTAGATGCTTTAGTATAAAGCTGGTAACTATTATTACTATTATTCAGTGGCTTAATTAGGAATTTGTCTTAGGGGGATAAACATTTTTTTCCACACAAAATACTTAGATTTTCAAGTACAATATGTGGGAAAACTATTTCATCAAAAATTCTTAAACTAATATATATGTACACAAAATGTATTAATAAATGTGCTTTAAAATTYTACACAAGTTAGTACCTATACAATATTATAATAATTTCTTCAAAATGTAAATTTTGAATATATTAGAATTAAAATTTACTTTTAAATTAAATAATAATTTATAGATTTCCTGATATTAATTATATTTAATATATTTCGTCGTGATGTCAGCACGATGAAACATATAATTCCATAAGCTTCAAATTAATATATAAATATACACATTATATAGGCTSTGGGGGGGATATATCCCCCCTCATCCCCYYCTTAATTACGCCCCTGCTACTATTATTATTAATATTGTGATTATCACAATGTTCAATACGATTTTTAAGTTTGATTTTCTTTTATGACAATTATTTTATTACAATAATTAAATAAAGTTATTATGATTTTTGAGAAAAAATCAATAAGTACATATTTTAATTATTGGCCATCATAAAAGAACCACTGCGTTAACATATACAACATAAAAAGTGGAATTCAAACCCATGCTCTCTAATATGATGTATTTATTGGTTTTACTATATTCTTCTCCCCCATTATTTACAATGAATTAGTAAAGCATTGGTAAATACAATTCACTACTGTCAAATTTTATTTTATTTTATTTTTTTGTGAATAGGTAAGTTCCACATTGTTTGCAAAAATTAAAAGAAATCTGTATACACATTTATGAGTATATACATGTCTATAATATCTTATTAGTATCTTATCAAATACTAAAAAAGTAATATAAATTAAAAGAATGATTGAAATATTTACTATACCATCTTTTTCTTTTCCATTTTTAAATAAGTCATCCTAGATTGTTGAGTCCACTGGAATATGTAAAATGGCTTTTAAAATTTGCATATAGCCTATAAATATTAACTAGGCAACTAAAAAAATACCTGACCGATTCTTATAATTTTAGCCCCMTCACAGTTCATCAGCGACAAGTATAATATTGACACATGGTTATTGATTTAACTGACAAATCATATAGGTAGATATTTCTGATAATATTGTTTATATATATACGAATGGAACAGGGTATTAAATAGTTAGGTACTGTAATCTTAATAAATAACCATTTATGCTCGATTGTCAACATGTTATCGAGGATTTGAAACCATTAACTTTACAAATGTTTTCTTGATGAATATAATAACGTCAATGCGTGTCTTGCACAATTCCAAAACGCATAATATTACGCATATTACACACAACACATATCATTGGAAATCCTTACGAGGTGGGGTATAAAATTAGCAATGGTGAAAAGGGTCTGGCGTGTTTTAGACGGATAAAAGTTATGGGGGTTTATTATCTGCTAATTTGCATAACTCCAATAATCACGTGATATACGAGTATACGACCCACTACTCAAGCTTATACAATACTCGCTTTCATCGGCCGTTCAAAATACATAATTATAATGATATAATAATACCCGGAAGTAAACGTGTGCGAGGTTCTGGTCGTAAGCTGTAACAATGAGATATCTTTACCTTTTTGCTGTACACCACCACCACCACTAACGTCATCGTCTTGCTGTATCCGGAAACTGGACCTCCGACTCGCTGGCGACGAACCTTGCTGCTGGTCCACGCGGTTTTGATATACGTCGTACGCTGACGCTCGTCTCGGTAGTTGAGCTGCAAACAAAACGGTTAGGTTCAACGGCTTGAGGTAAGCATCAAAAAATGATATCATAATGCCTGTCATAAATTAATAATGTACGCTCATAAAATATTTTTGTATAGGTATAATTATAAGATTCAATACAAACAGGTATATACCTATATGTCTAGTTCACAAAACATTGTCAAACCCATCATGAAGTATTCAATTAAATACTTACTGAATTTGTGAAAAACACACTGAATTCGAATTGAATTAAATATCTAGCAGCTAAAWATACATAGGTATATTATACTACCAATATATATTTTTTAATTATTCCCAAAACTACAACAATAGTAAGTTATCTTACCATGTCAGAGGGGAAATTTGCAGGGTGATATTAACAGATAAATTGTTTTTTTTCTCTCTCAGTCTACGTCATGTGCACAAAATATAATGATTTATTTTAAGCATTCTAATTTATTAAACGAAACACAGTATATTTAATTATCAATATTAAATAGCGATAGTAAATTAACGCGCGCTGCTGGATGGCTCAAAGTTTAATTATTACATAGTACATTGTTAATTACAATTTGCGATTCACTTGCCCATTGAAATGTTAAACTTAAAATCCTTTTCACGCTTCAAAATGTTTACGATCGACTTTTATTTATTAATCAGTTGGTCAAAGTGCGCTTCGTCAATGGACGTGCATCTTAGTGTCGAAGTGTAAAAGTTATTCTTTCATTTTTTTAAATTTTAATTTCACTTCAAAGTAATGATTAATAGTTTGAATGGGGTTTTTTTCGAAATAATTTATAAAAATATTTAGTACCATTCGACTGTGAAATAAATAAAAGGTACATAAATATAATTACGATGGACGAGAGTGAAATTACAAATTAATGTTCCCCCCCCCCTTTAGGTACAAACCTTTAAATTTTCAATTACAATTTACATTATTTAAGGACTAAATAAGATGATCAATCAAAAAGATATACATACCTACCAGATTCATGGACAGAATAATATATTAATTAAACCATTTAACGATTGTACATTGAAGGATTATTCTATAATATCATAATASGTAGTAAAATTACGTCATAAAAGTTTATGTAATATTATAAAACTGTATATCTAGTCATATTATATAGTGTTGTGTATGAAACTTCAGGAATTTTTTAAAGTTAAATATTTTAAAAGGCGCATAATATAATTTAATTTTGTATATTTAACTATAATAATGTATAATATCTTTTACTAGATAAAAATAATAATATGTACCTAATTAGTGACTAGTATAGTTCTGAAACCTTGTAATATTGTATATTTCAGATTTKAAATATAGCATGGAGCCATGGACTGTCGTTATATCTATCGGAAATAGGGTCTAGTAATTTATTTGGGAAAATTACTATTCGTTTTTCTTAATGAAAATGCCRTATGCGCAAAAAATAACCATACAGAGTTGTTGATGAATTAAATAAATTCAATATAATGCTTTTTCAATCGAAATTATAGCTCAAAATCATTTTTTTCGTGTGATGATATTATAACAATGATAATATCATTGTTTTAAAATGTATGATTTTTTTTTTCAATAAAACATCACAATCTGTTAATTTTTATCTCATATTCTTATTGTGTTTAGTATAATTGATACAGATTGTTTATTACTTGTAAACATTTTTTTTTTTTTAATTACTATTATTAATTACAATATGAAAATTACACCCATGGACCCATGGTGTATCCATATTTTTGGTTTTACTCACAGAACTTCATAGTTTATGATTATTTTATTTTAATAACGAGAGAATATGTATATTTCATAGGTAAATACTTACTTTTACCAAGAATTACGTTTAAAATTAATTATATACATTATTATTTATTTATTTATTTATTTTTTTTAAACCATGTTATAATGCATTTGTTTTATATAGGAATACAAGAGGAATCTAATTTATTATTTTTGAATCTTTTGTTATACATTTTGTACTATTTAACCGTTTCTGCGTACACATTACATATTTATATCCCATTAATATAAGATGTAAAAAAAATCTTTGTTTTATTTATGAATGTTCATAGAATAAAACACTTAAATGGTTTTTTTTATATACATTTGCAAGAAAATCTGACATMAATTTTAAATTTAATATACAAAAAAAAGTTAAGAATTAAATCTTTGTTATGGTGATTATAACATAATATTATACAAGAATATCAGCTTTAGCGATAAATCATTGATCCCATTCCTATTTTGATGTAATTATGTCGTTAATCAGGGAATATGAAATATTCCTCCGAGATAATAATATAAATACTTTTAAACTTATTTTAAGAGATGTTAAAACAGAATGAAGAGCTAACCACGAAAATTATTACCTTGTCCCTCAGCAGTCAAAGTCGAAGGGACACCCTGTCCTCCTTGTTGCCCAACGCCGGGCTTCATGTCATCATCATAGCTATGCTGTTTTTGCACCCTGGACTTTCTTCTTACCCTTTGCACAGCACCCCGTGCTCCTCTTCTCCAGCGATTTTCTGCATCGTCAGGATCATCCGTAGAATCATCTATTATATATATGTGATTTGTAAGTACTAGAATTCAACCATCTCAATCAATCATTTATAAAATTATAATGATATAAAGTAACTATAGTGCCCACTGAATTAGTTTTTAATTTTGCATACGACGATAAATAATTTAACTTAAGTCAAAATTATTTGAAAATTGCATGGTAGATAGAATATACTTATATAAACATTCGGTGAAAATTTCATGTATCTACAATCATTTGTATTGAAGTTACATCAAATACCAAAATCGATTTTGTCGAAAACTGATTGTGCGTAAAATTTCCCGTTTTTCCCTTAATTTTTAGTTTGTTTATCCTGATTATTTAGAAAATATTGGGAATTTTTTACTTTTGACCCCCCAAGGTACCAACTAGATTCACTTTCTGATCGAACGAGGTAATGAAGTTGAAAATCGAAGCACTTTTACTGCCTTAAAACGTGATGACAGACACAAAAAATATAAATAAATAAATTCAACAAAAAACACATATCATAGTAAAATCAATACATTCCTCGCTCCGCTAAGAATTTAAAATGTATTATAACAAGTATAATATCATTCAGTTTTGACCAACATTATGAATATTTAGTATAATCTATTACATTTTATAATGTAATATGTGATTATACAGATGTAATAAATTAGTGACTATAATAGTAAGAGTTAATATGTATATATATAATAAATAATAATTGGGGAATTGTTCTTATTAATTTATGTATCGATCAAAATGAAGACAATAATAAATGTTATTATATTTTACTGTATTATTATACATTATATTCTAATACCTTGGTTCAAAAAATTAATTAAAATATTATACTTTTTATTCAATGATAAAAATAAATGAGAATTTATTGTTTACCATTAACAATAATTTCAACATGTATACGAACTCCGAAAGAAGTTTTTTTTTATATAATTTCATTAAA